GTATTTAGTTAGTCGTATCTGTGTGATCCTATCTAAATACTTTGGAACTTTTTTGCAATTCTGTGTGAATTGTGAGCGTTATTTAATTTGTTTCTTTAAATTGTCTGCTTAGTGCTTGACAATATTGAGTGTAGCTATTTTAATTATTTGTAAATATAAGAGTATTTGCTATACTTGTTGGTATAATACTTAATCTAGGTAGTTCTGAGGACTCTTTGCAGAGTCTTTTTTTTCATGTTCTATTGCGGTAGATGTTTTCTTGTTTTTGTCAGATTTCTTACATTTTTTTGATGTTACAGTTGTATAGGAAATATCTTTTATATCATTTTCTTTATTATGATCTCGGTTTGGAGTATTATCTACTCCTTCTAGAGTTTTCATAACTTTGTCTTTGGTTTCTTTTTTTTCAGTAGTTTGTGAAAGGATTTCTGAGTCAGAGGAGTTGTCAGAAGAATTTTAGTTATCTGTAACTGGGTTTGAGATGATTCCTCTGCAGATTCTGCAATATATAGGTTGTCTGTGCTAAATTTGATCTTAGTATTTGAGTCTGGTATATGTGTATTTTTTTGGATCTTCTGTTCTCTTAGAAGTTTCCTAAGCTCAATTGATACTTTTAGTTCTTCATAGTCTTTTTTGAGGTAGCCCTTTTTCTCACAGTAATAGCATATTTTAAAAGCATCCTTTTAGTCAGTTGTTACTTTGTGATCCCTAACATAAGTGCTTCTAGGAAGTCTTGAAGTTAGCTCTGAATCTTCAGTAGTTTCAAATATGATCAACTATTGGTCAGAGCATATATTAGTACATTTGAAAAGGAGAAGCTTAATAGAGGTGATAGAGCCAAAATTCTGGAATACTTCTAGAACGAGATTATTGATTTCTTTGGTATTACCTATTGGTATATTTCTAATTTTGACTGATAGAAAGATATGTTTTAAGTTTATTGGGATGTATCTAAATAGGGTTTGTTTGAAAAGTGAGATTCCTTCAGTAAGGTAAAGTTGAAGCTTGTGTTTATTCTGTAAGATCACTTCTAAAAAAGCATGTTTCCCTCTTGAGAAATGAAATTTTGCTACAATAAGGTCTTCTTCTAGTTTAGCTGCAAGTGCAGAGATAATTTCATTGGAAGGAATATTGTTTAAAACTTGAATATCGATAATTAAGGCATTCTCATTTTTAGAGTGAAGTTTGAATCTGAGGGAGAAGTTATTGTAGATAGCTTTGCTTCCTTTAAGCTCAGAGAATAAATTAGACCACTGCTTGTTCTTCGAGTTATTGTTTCCTTTGTTGTTAGTTTGGTCTGAATTAGTAAATGTAGGTGATGTTGATGAAGAGGTACCAGATTTATGATAATGATTATTTGCTAAGCTACTTGAAAAGGTTACATGTCTTTTATTGTTTTCAACTTCTGTTATTTTGTTTTCAAGATGACGTATCTTGTTTTCTTTAGAAGAGAGACTTTGGTTTTGTTCTTTTTGTTTTTCTGTTTCATTTTCTATCTCAGCTATCTAGTTAGAAGCTTTTTTTAAGACTTGTTTGTTTTTTTGTTGTATGTTAGATAAAGTCTTGTTACTTGCTGTTAGTTTCTTATCGATGTTGTCTTCTTTGATATTATCTGAAGACAAGTCAAAGATTTTATTTTTTGTATTAGAGTGAGTTGTTTTGATTTTTTTGCTTTCTTGGGTATTGCGAGAGGCTATATTTGGTTTTTTTTTCTTAGGACTAAAGCTCTATGTTCTTTAAGTTGTTTGTGAAGTATACTTGTGAAGTTTGTAATATTTGTTTTTGTTTTTTATTTAGTACATAAGATGTACCAGAAAGAGTTTTTGACTTTTTATATTATTGTTATTTGTATTAGTATTTATATTGTTTTAGGTTTCAAATTCACTATCACTTAAATCTTCAAATTTAGTTGTTGTAAAATCAGAAGTTGTATAATTTTCAAAGTCAAAGAGACAATTTAAGATTTCCTGATGTATAGTAAAGTCCTAAGTATGATTTAGACAATTTAAAGTTAAATCAACAAGTATATCTCTATTTTCAAAGAAATTAAATCTAATACTTTCAAATATTTGATTAAGGTAAATAGTTCAAACAGTTTGTTGATTAGAAGTTAATAATAAATTAAAAGTTTCAATAGTTAAACGAAAAAAAGAAAATGTAGAAAAATTTAAATAAAACCAATTCTAAAAGAAAACAAATTGGTTTGAACAAGAATCAATAGAAAGGGGTATAACAAAAGGTGCAAAAAGTATCTAAAAAGAGATTAAAAGTAGGAGATAAATTTAAAGTTTCTACTAGGTTTTAATAAAAATAATCATGAATATTATTAAATTATGCTGAGTATTCTAATTAAACATAAGAATTTAACCACCTCATAGAGAGCACCAATTTTGTCAAGCACTAAGCAGACAATTTAAAAAAATAAACTAAATAATGCTCATGGTCACAATTTAAACTCTTTCTAGTACATCTCATATACTAGATAAAAAACTATATAAATATTAAAAACTTCATTGAAGTACTTCATAAACAAAACAAAGGATATAAGGCTTTAGTACCTAAGAAAAGAAGCTTGATATAGCCTCTCGCAATACTCAAGGGAGTAAAAAAATCAAAACAAACTACCCAAATACAAAAAACAAAATCTTTGACTTGTCTTTGAATAATTTTAAAGAAAACAATATAGAAAAAGAACTAACAGCCAGTGATATAACTTTACAAAATACTCAACAAAAAGATAAAACTTAAAAGAAACTTCTAACTAGATAACTGAAGTCAAAGCAGAAGCTGAAAAACAAAAAGAACAAAATCAAAGTCTCTTTTTCAAAGAAAATGAAACATATTATTCTGAAAACAAAACAACAGAAATTGAAAATAACAAAAAACATGTAACCTCACCAAGTAGCTTAGTAGATGATCATTATTATGAATCTAGCTTCTCATCACAAACATCATCTACAACAATCAACTCTAACCAAACTAACAACAAAGAAAACAACAACTCAAAGAGCAAATAGTGGTCTGACTTATTCCTTAAATTTAAAGAAGGAAAAGCTATCTACAACAACTCTTCTTCTAGATTTAAACTTTATTCCAAAAATGAAAATGCTTTAATCATTGATATACAAACCTTGAATAATATTCTATCTAATGAAATTATCTCTGTACTTACAACCAAACTAGGAGAAGACCTCATTATAGCAAAGTTTCATTTTTCTAGAGGAAAATATATCTATTTAAACAAACCTTGTTCAGTTATATTCTAATAAATCTGAAATATACTTTTCTATCAGTTAAAATTAGAAATGCATCAATGGGAATACTAAAGAAATCAATAATCTTATTCTAGAAGTATTCTAATACTTTAGTTCTATTATATCGATTAAACCTCTTCTCTTCAAAAGTACCAACATTTGTTTAGACCAATAGTTAGTTGCATTCAAAACTACTGAGGACCCAGAGTTGGCTACAAGGCTCTCTAGAAGTTCTCATGTTAGTGACCACAAAGTAACAACTGACTGAAAAGATACTCCTAAAATATGTTACTATTGTGAGAAAGAGGGCCACTTGAAGAAAAACTATGATGAACTAAAAGCATTAATAGAGCTTAGAAGACTTTTAAGAGAACAAAAGACCCAAAAAAATACTTATATTACAGACTCAAATACTGAAGGTAATTTCAGTACAGATAATTCATATATCACAGAATTTATAGAAGAACCTTCTAAAGCAACTGCTACAAACAAACAAAATATATCTGATGACTCTTCTAAATCAGAAGCCTCTATACCAACCTCAGAAAAAAAAAGAAATCAATGATAAAACTACAAAAACCTCAAGCAACCCAAACAATACTCTTGACTCAGATCAAGGAGAAGAAAACAATATGAAAAATATTTTTTATACAACAGTAACATTCAAAAAATACAAAAAATTAGACAAAAACAAGAAAACTACTATTATAATGAAATACAAAAAAGAAAACTCTGCAAAAAGTCCTCAGAATCATCAAGATTAAAGCAAACATTAATATTACTAAAATTATATCATTTTGATATAATTATGATAAAAGAAACAAACCTTAAAGATAGTAATATGAGAAAATTTCTAACTCAACAATAGAATTATAATTCTTTTGGGTTCTTCAAATAGTAATCTTAGCTGGCAAAAAGAATATCAAACTCAGAGATTACAAAGAATTCTATGAAAAGCAAGTAATCTCAGTAAAAACAGAAATTAAACAACAACTATTCACTTTCACAAACATATATACACCACCTAACTCTGAGAACAGAACAACTTTTTTCAACAATTGGTTTTTATCAGAAGTTGAAAGACATATCAACATAATTGCAGAAAACTTAAATACCAATCTAAATCCAAACAAGAACTGAATAAGCCAAGCTGAAACACAGAATGATCCTTCTAGAACATTAGTCAAAAGACTAATACAAAACTTTGAGGATACTGCCTTATTCTCAAAAGAATATCCTTTTATTACTTTCTACTAACATAAATGTAATAACTAACTGATAGATACATATTTGAACTATATCTTTATTAATACAGATCAGGCTCATATATGCAAGAATACTTGTAACTCTGACCATCTATTGGTTGAAAGTGTACTTGTGCTCAAAGACTCATACAGAAACTCCTGCCTCTGGAGATTTAATAGAAGAATTAGGCTTCTCTCTGAGATCAAAACTGATATAAACAATAAACTCAAAAGCATTCAAGACACAAGAGAATAAGATTTACTTAAATATTACATACAATCAATTATTAAAGCTCACAAACCAGAAAAGATCTACATATACTCTCTCTAGACCATATAAGATTTGGAGTGGAGTATTAACTAAATATCAAAATAAACTCTAATATCAAGACAAACAAATTTAAAAAAGGTATCCAGACAAGAGCACTTGCTCTTGTTGCAAGAAAAAGATCTTTTGAAGAGTTTGGCAAAACAGAAAACTCTAAAAAAATGACAAAAAACCAAAAAAAAAATATAGACTTTGGCAAAGAGAACAACAACAATCCAAAGCTCCTACAAGATGAAAAATCTAACTCAAGCTCTTCAGAACACCTCAATACAAGCAACTCTAGCTGGGACGAACAAGTAGACCAAGAAGCTAGAAAGCTTAAAGAAATAACTAACTCTTTCTCAAATAATAAGGAAGAAATCAAAACAAACATATTAAAAGAGAAAAATTCTTATCTAGAAAAAGATAACAACAACACAACAACACATACAGAGAAAAACAATAATTAAGATACTAACAAAAAACAAGAGAACAAAACAACAATATATAACTCAGAAACTAATAGACAAAAAGAGCTAGAGATAGTAGAAAACTCTAGCTTTACCTCTAACTTTAATAAAGTTTCTGAATTAACACCCAGAAAATAGTCAAGTCTCTTCTCTAAACTCAAAAGAGGCCAGTTAACTTATTCTTCCTTCTCTCCAAAAAACACAATCAGATCAAAGAATAAGAATGCACTCATTATTGATATACAGAGTCTACAATATTCTTTTAACGAAATTATGACTTCTTTATTTAAAAACATAAAATATAATATAATTGCAGCTAAACAATACCTTACTAAAAGGATACGTACTTATCTTGAAATAATTTTTACAAATCAGAAAAATTAAATTACTATGCTAAGGTCCAGTGATCTAATGTAGTGGATAGGTTGTCAGACTACTATGCAATAGGTTTGGGGTTCAAATCCTTCTATCGATACTTTGAATAATTACTCAAACCTTGTATCCAACTTACGGTAAACTCTGTTCGTTTCTGGGGTTGTAACCCTATAAATCACGTTGCACTAATATTGTCCAGATATTGGAAGTGTAACAGAATGATTAAGTTGTGTTATACAGATAAATCGAGATAGGATCTATGAGCAGAGGACCTGCATGAAAAAAATTCTGAGTTAGGTAAAGTAGTACGGATTTCAACAGTCACGCCTGTTAATGCTTGATCTAGCAAAAATTTCTGAGTACAAAGATGTAGATCGAGTGAGTACGAGTAAGTTCGTGACATTGGGTGTTACAGCAACACCAACTTGGCTTGGCAGCTAACTAGATTGAGAGGATCTTCCTCATGAAACATTCGGAAGAACACAGAAGTCTAAACTAGTGGAGGGCCATAGCTGGAACCGGGTTTATACAAACATCGAATAAGGGTATATGCAAGCTAGAATAGGGATATAGTGTAGCATAGTTGGGTATTGTGACACCTATCTGTTAGGGTGTGTTGAAGTAGGACTTATTCAAATAAGACCTGAGCTCATAATAGTAAAGTTGCAACTAATATCAGCTTGGGTGCCTCCCAATGTAAAGAAGCATGAGGTTTGAGTTAACTATAAAGAGTAATACTTGCGGTAAGTGAGATAGGGTCAGAGAGTTTAAATAGGGAATCTTCTAAGAGATTTTAGATATAGCAGCTAGTGTAGAACCTTCGAGTGGACTACTTAAAATAGATAACCTAAAATTATATGTGTAGCTAGTTGTACTCTCACAATATTTATCACTTTCGAAATTTATGAAATTAATAAAAGTTAGCTGATGGCATTTGTATAAAGTAAAAAAAAAAAAAAAAAAAAAAAAAATTACTCAGTCTTGAACAGAATTGTATATTTAGATTATAATTCTTACAAAACACCTTTTTTATTTTTTTTATTTTTTATTTTTGTTTTGTTTTATTTTTTTTTAGCTTGTTAGGTTTTTAACTTATTAGCAAGTTTTTCTAACTTTGCTTTAAATATTATATATAGTATATAGCCTTGTTTTTTACTATATATAACAATTTTATTTTATTTTTATTAATATTCATCTTTCTAGACAGTCAGATAAAATTGTCTAGACTTCTCTTTTTCTTTATATTAAGGAGGTTTTTAGTATAATAGATTATATTTAAGCATATATACAAATAGAGTATCAAGTAGTACTTTCTATTAAAAAATTAGATATATAAAGAGGAACTATAAGTTCTTGTATTAAATTAAATCTTATGCAGATTAGCTATCTGTAACTTTTTATCTAATAAATATGTAAAGCAAAACTGTTAAAAGAAAAAAAAATAATAAAATAATAAAATAAAATAATTAAAAAGTCTGGTGATTTTAGCATAGTAGTTAGGTTACCAAACTGCTATATAAGAGGTCTGAGGTTTTAATCCTACTATTAATAAATTTGAATAATTACTTAGATCTTTGTACCTAACTTATAGTAAACTCTATTCATTTCTGAGAGTTACAACCCTGTAAATCATATTGCACCAATATCAATTAGATATTAGAAGTATAACACAAGGTTTGAGTTATATTGTATAAATAAATCTTAATAGGATCTATAAGCAGAGGACCTGTATAATAGAAATCCTGAGTTTGGTGAAGTAGTATAGATTTGAATAATTAAGTCAGTTAATACTTAATCTAGTGAAAAACCTGAGTACAAAAAATATGAGATCAATAAGTGTAAGTAAAACTATTGTGAATCTGTAGCCTAGTACTGACTACAAATGATAATATCAACTTGGCTTAGTAGCTAACTAGATTGGGAGGATCTACCTTGTAAAATATCTAATTAGAACTTGGAGAACTAGAGTTACAGCAGAAGCTGAGTTTGTATAAATATCAACAAAGGTCTAAGCCAAGTAAATCTATAAAATAAATATATGACTACTTTAATAGAAATTATTTCTGAGGTTAATCTGAGCTCTGTATGATCACAATATATTAGGCAATATGTATCTTGAGAGGACCTTAGCTATATAGTAAATAGTTCTATATATAAGTTAGCTAGCTTAAATAATCAGATATAGTAGTGATGTTAGTTTGAAATAGTAAGAAGAGTTAATGATCAGAGTATTTAAATAGATAACTTACATATAGGTTGCGATATAGCAGTATAGTATAGAACTAACAGATAGTCAATTATTTATATAGTAGACTACTTAAATTAGACAATAACTAAAGTTATATGTATAGTTTGTTATACACTCATCATATAACTATAAAAACCTTAGAAAACTATTTATATAATAGTTCTGTAATAACAAACTAATAAAATCTAATCAGCTAATGAAGTGGCCTTAATAACAAAAAAAATAAAATAAAATAATTAAAACTTATTTTATAATATTTCTATTCTTTTTAAAAATAAGTATTATAAATTCTAACTAATTTTAGAAGTTCAATAAAATCTTTATCACTTAACTCTTCTAAGTTAATAAATATTATCTTAGTAGTAGAACAGAGTTTTAATAGTCTATATATCTGAAAGATTTGATAAACTTATTCAGAATACTTCTATTCTGTTAGCTTATCAAGAATTTGGAGATTTTTTTAAAATATTTTGAGTATACTTTAGGCTTTGTCTATTTTTTTTTATACTTTCTTGTAGTTATTCTAAGTAGTAGCATATTTTGAGAGTTTTAAGAACTTGATTCTGTTGTTTTTCTCAGTTTTCTTCTTTTAATTAAAAGATTATTTTTTTAAGCTTTTTTTTTTACTTTATACAAATGCTATCAGCTAACTTTATTAATTTTATAAATTTCAGAAATGATACATATTGTAAGAGTACAACTAGCCACATGTACAATTTTAGGTTGTCTATTTTAAGTAGTCCACTCAAAGGTTCTACACTAGCTGCTATACCTGAAATCTCTTAGAAGATTCCCTATTTAAATTCTCTGGCCCTATCCCATTTATCGCAAGTATTACTCTTTAAAGTTAACTCAAACTCTATGTTACTCCTCATTGGGAGGCACCCAAGCTGATATTAGTCACAACTTTACTATTATAGG